CCTAACCCTAACCCTAACCATGAGAAATCGAGTTCAAGATTGACCGGTGGAAATGGTCGCGAGAATTTCCGGTAAAATGGTTGGCAATAATGCAAACCGATGGGGATTCTAACGAATTCCTTTTCTAAGGGTTTCAGTGATGTGAGAAGAATGGCAGTTTGGGTTGAAGGGAATATCTTGCACCAAATTTTTGTTTTGGTCAGGTACGTGGTATGTATGAGATGATAATTTGGATAGTTTATTTAAGTCCGGGTGTGGTCCTGTCAATGCAGCGAGTGGGGGGGCTGTTAGACGTACTCATAGCACGGACAGAATATTGCAAGCAAGAAATTTCGGAGCAGATGGAGCGGGGAGTTTTGGGGTTCAGCAGTTGCTGTGGATTCGATTTGATGGTACCAACTTTGCCGTATATTACAGAGTTGAGGGTGGGGGTGGGGGTGCGTCTACAACGGATATATTGATTGTGTGTTGTGGTTTCTCACTTGTTTTTCTTTCCTCTTTTCCCTCCTTCATGTGTGCAATCAAGTCCATTTTACCCCGGCTACCACGCTACCACGGCCATCACGCCACGACCTCCACGCCAATCCTGGCTATCACGCCACTCGGCTATCACGCCTTCCGAACATCCACGTCCTTACATATTCCTTTACACCACGATTATCACGTCACCAGGCTTCCACGCCATTTCCAGAGATGCCATATCAAACCATCACGCTCCATCCCAAAGTAGAAGCCTGTCACGCCCATCATAGTTCCTACACTGTACCGTTGGTGGCTACCGCGCCGCCGGCTCTTTTATTTCCCAACCAAGGAACCCCGCGCGCCAAGGCGCCGACGCACAAAGCTACTCAACATCGGAGGCGTCCACCTTTTTTTTTATTTTGATCGGTTCCGGAGGGCTCTTTTCTCGAACGGTCGGTGCGGTCCCTTCTATTTCCTTTCTTCATTTTGGTTTTCTTTTTCCGAGTGGTTTCTACCCTATTTTTGTTTTGTTTCCCCGCGGCATCGTTATGTGCCGGGTTTTGAGACCATGGGCTCCCCATTTTTTGTGGACAATAGAGCCATGGTGAGAAACAACAACAACAACAATCCGAGAAAAAAGCAGAGTCGATCCGGCACTTGCCATGGGTTGAGATCGAATATCGTGGATCGCGGTCTGCCTTATGCCTTCACTAGTTGTGCTGTGCTCCTGTGCTGTGGTCTTTCGTCTTTGGTCGATGGTCTGGTTACCTGCGGTCTTGTCGTTGTTGTTGCTTTTCTTCACATTAAACTCGTGTCACTTGCTAATCCCAAAATCTAGCAAGGACTCGGTCCGTGGTCACAAAAATGCCAGAGCCATCAGAAGATCTAAAGAACACACACACTACTGGCAAGAAGGGTACACAAGCCCGAGGAGGTACACCTGCAATCCCTGCAGCAAGTTTGCGTGCTCACAACTGAACTACACGCCCACACAGTACCTCGCGGGCGAACCAGGCCGCAACAGATAGTAGGCGGGTGGTGTCCCAAGGTGCAACTCACCGCCGCGCTGGCTCAGCGTGGCGGTGAGGATGCACAGACGGTGGTAGTGGCGAGAGGTGTGTATGGACACTGTTCCCGCGGCAGCAATGCAAAGCGGCAAACTGCACCTGGCAACCACCGTCGCGGAAAGCGTGGCCCACAGAGCTGGAGGAGTAGAGAGATTCGTAAACACCACGTCAGTACGCACCGCTCGCGGGAGAAGGGAGACGACCGCGGGCACCGCGGGGAGGGAGTGCTGCACCCTCCTCGTCAAAACACCACAGGCAAGAACAGAGCTCTGCAGAGATGGATTGATGCGAGGACACTCGCCGCTCGGAAACAAAAGAAGAAAGCATACCCGCAACGTGAGGTGGACTGAGAGAGACACGAGACCGCAGCGGCCGTCAAGGCGACTGCGGCCGTCAAGGCGACTGCGTAGAAGAAGGCACGAGAGGTCGACCTATCGTTCGGCACGTTCAACGTACGCACGCTCGCCTACAGCGGTAGGAACCCCATCGGTCACAACGTGATGACGGTCAT